TTTTTTTTTTTTTTTATTTTCAAGGATGCCCAGTAGATGCTATTGTCTTGGAAGCTCCGTTCACCAACATGTGGACTGCAAGTATCAATTACCCCTTGTTAAAGGTGAGCCCCCGCTTCTTCTCCACTGGGGTCAAAGAGCTAGCTGGTTCCACACATGTGTGTCTACCAAGTAGCTTCCTTCCCACACTTGGCCTTTCATGTGTTTCTAAATTACTCTAACCTGATGTGAAAGCTTATTAACCGGTGGCCATGAAGGGGGACACATGGCGTCTAGATTTGGATTTGCTGTTTCTTTTATTTTCTTCTAACACTTTAAGTGGCTTATTAAGAGTGAAAGGTGTTTGTTTTCTTTTCTCATTAACTGTTCCGCTTACCTTTTGTGACTGGCTAACAGACTTGCCACAGCTTTATTATTATTATTATCATTCCCTTTCAAAGTGTAAACCAAACAACCATTCCTATGGGACATTTAGCCCTCTGAACGTCAGTCACGTGTCTTTCATGACTATCATAAGAAAATTTCTAGTCAATTCTAGACAATGGAAGCTGCCAAATGCTTTTACATAGTACTTCAGCTAAAGAAGTCTGTCTTGCCGAGAATATAAAGTATAAAGAATTGGGCTACAAGGTGTAGTCTTAAAAGTCTGTGGTGTAGATTATTCTAATTTTATAATTTTATTCCGTGCCTGATCCTCAATTGCTGCTATTTATATATTCATATAATGTTAGCAAATGAGAGGGAGAGAGGGAGAGAAAGAGGGGGAGAGGAAGGGGGAGGGAGAGGAAGGGGAGGGAGGGGAAGGGGAGGGAGGGAGAGGAAGGGAGGGGGGAGGAGTTTGATTTTAAAGGGGATCTGATTTTAAAATTGTTATTTTATGCTATAAGACATCTTAGGGGTACTTTCACTATCAACTTTGGGACTATTTTATGCTTAAACCATCACAGAACTTTCTGTAATTTGCTTAATCATTTTCAGGGAATGGTAGCTTGTCACTTCCTAGGACAGCCAGTTCACATAATCACATAATCTTGAAAATGTCTTTATGATCTAAGCTTCAACTTAATATAGGAATCCCCTCTATAATCTAAAATACTGAATTATAAGTAATTTAAGTTTTAATAAATAAAACATTTTCAATTTGCTCTGTGATTGAATATTCATTTCGATATAACCATGAATTGACCATCTATTGTTTTACTCTGAGTAATTATTAATAAATTCATTAAACTGTAGGAATGTAACAGAATTCAGGTACAGTCTTTTCATTAGTTTGCTTTTAAATTTTTTTTGTTAAAATTTGAAATTTAGCAAGATAGGGAAAATACACGAACATGATTTAATGAGTGATTATAAACTGAACCCCTGTGTAATTACCTCCTAACTCAAGAAATTAGCACCACTAGCACTCCAGAAGTCCTCTGCATGTTACTTTCCAATCCAACGTGGCCCATTTTAGATGTCAACTTTGATGAATTTTATGGCAATCATATCTGTGCATTTTTTAATAGTGCTACCACTCGTTTGTGCCTCTCTAATCAATATAGTTTTGTCTATTTTTGAACTTCACACACTAGTAAAATTGTATAGGATGCCTTTTATTCTCCCCCCATCATTACACACATATCTGTGGGATTTTATTCATGTGTATACAGTAGAGCTGTAGTTTGGTCATTTTCATTGCTATATATGATTCCATTGTATGAACATAACACAATTTATTGTTCTATTCCATTGTTTATAGACATTTGGGTCACTTTCAGGTTGGGGGAACTAATAGTACTGCTGTTATGAATGCTCTTGAATCTGTATTCTGTAAACATGGAGAAAGTTTCACTGGGTTTACATAGGAGCGGAACTGGGAGGTACCGAGATGCCTTTGCTCAGCTTTACTAATTATGGTGCCAAGTGGTTTTCCAAAGTGAGTCTCCCATTTGATTCCCCCACCATTTGTGGATGAGAGTTCCAGACACTTCACTCCCTTGTCCGCATATTCCCATGGCATTATGGTTTTAAACTGCATATTCCTGACAACTAGTGGGCAACTTTGTATAGCTAACGAGACAGCTGGACATCTTCTCTTATGAGGTGCTTGTTCATGTCCCTTTGGCCCATTTTTCAAATGAGTTGAATTTCTTTTTAGCTGTAGAATTTCTTTATAAATGCACCAAAATACAAATATTGTTTTATTATAAATATATTCATTATATAATGGTGCATCATGATGAAGAAATACTCCTACATTTAATATTTTTATTTTTGGTTTATACTTTTGTGTCTTGTGTGAGAAGACTTTGCTTACAGCTGCTGAGCAGGGATTCTGGAAAGTGTCGCGCACCTGAGCCCCCAACATGGCAGCTGAAGGCTGCGGGTGGGCCAGGGGTGGCCAGAAGAACGCGGTGAACAGCAGCGTGGGCTGTCCAGCCTGCCTGCATGTGTGACGTCGTCGTGGGCACCCACCTGACACTCAGAGATGTGCGTGCGTTCTCCTTCCGTTTTGTTGATGTCATTGATGACCAAGAGCGTGGGCTCATCCGACATGGACCGGACTTCTCGGTGGCCCTGGAGCGCCAGGGCCGCTGTGCTGAGAGGAACTTGGGCCGGTGCTGCAGCGGCTGTGCATGGTCTCTCGCCACCCTGACGGGCTGTGTGCCCTGACCTTGCAGACAAGTGTCTGGAGGAGGCATCAGTTCGCTGTGTGACCCCAGAGCCCTCAGTGATCCAGCACCGAGGCCTCCTCACTACCCTGCGGCCTGCTGCCCCTCTCCAGGTCCGCAGATGGGTAGCAAGCGGCCAGCCCGAGGGAGAGCCACACTTGGGAGCCAGGAAAACGCCGGAGGTCGGCGACACCAGATCCCACGGAAAAGCAGACATGTGACATCAGACTGCCAGCACGAGACTGCTCTCCTGGGCAACGTCCTCTCTACCGAGCAGGACCCGCCTGAGCGCCCGTCTGACCTTTAACCAGTCCCGGGACCTGGGCTCCATGATCTGTGACATCAAGGTCTCTGAGCTCACCACCTCACCCATTCTGGTGCCACTCCATCAACGGCTCGTTACTAGAGGCACTGAAAGGTCTTCAGCACAGACTCCCTCAAGCAAGCTGGGCCATGAGGCCACCAAACTGCCAGTGAATGTGGATGAGGAGGGCAGGAGCTGGGCCACAGAAACGCCTGAGGAATTTGGCCTGCAAGCATTGCCTGACCTTGTCCCCGTCTCACTTCTCTGCCGACGGTTCACACTACCCCGCTCGGGAGCTTACATACTGTCCTGGGGTTTGTCCTCTATCTTCCAATGAATCACATCCCTGACTTTTTTTAAAAAATAGAAATAGACAAAGCAAAGTGGAAGTGGTGTTCCCTGCCCCTCCCCGCACCCACGGGCCTGGGCCTCCCCTTTGTTTTGCTTTTTGTCTCCACAGCCACCTTCCCACCAAGCCGTAGAGAAATGTATAGGGAGAAACTAGGTCTATACAACACAGTATATACAAAGAACGTACACAGTATGTACAAAGACTATACAACACAGTCTTCGTGAGGCATTGGCGTGAACACTGCTTTGGGGTGCATTGAGGGGTTATCAATACTTCTGGCTTTATGAGGGCTCTTAAATTTTGTCTAAAAAACCAAAGGGCTTGTGAGTAAGGGAGCTATGTGGAAGTTGGGACTCTGAAGTGTATTTTGGAAATGACTACCCTCTTCCAAATTATAGCCTTTTAAAAAGACAAACAAAAAAAGTGTACATCAGGTATATTTGCATAATCCTTTGGTTCCACCTGTAGCCAATATTTATTGAGTATCTATTATGTGCCAGGAACTTTTCCAGGTTCTGAGGATGACACAGGGAGTGTTAGTGTATAACACTGTGAAGTTTATACACTTGGTGGTAAGGCAGAGAGGAGATAAGTGCATAATAAAAAACTCAATAGGGAGAAGGGCCATGAAAGCAATAAAATAATGTGACAGGGAGTGACTGGCTGGCTGTGTACAACCTCCCTGAAGAGGCTTCAAGTGAGCTGAGACCTGCGTGAGAAGAAGGCAGCTGTGTGGGGACACCTGGAGGTCTCAGAGGAGAAGGCAGCTGTGTGGGGACACCTGGAGGTCTCAGAGGAGAAGGCAGCTGTGCGGGGACACCTGGAGGTCTCAGAGGAGAAGGCAGCTGTGCGGGGACACCTGGAGGTCTCAGAGGAGAAGGCAGCTGTGTGGGAACATCTGGAAGTCTCAGAGAAGACAGCTGTGTGGGAACACCTGGAGATCTTGGGTCACAGGGAAAGCAAAGGCCTGGGCCTGGAGGGGGGATCAGGTCTGGTGTGTTCCAGGAGCAGGCCCTGAAGGTGGGCAGGAAGGGGCTTAGTGACCAGAGATAAGGCTGGAGGTAGAGGCTGTGCTGGATTCTGTACCACCTCAGTGGCCAGTGTTTGGGTTCACTCCAAATGCCTTTGGAGAGTGCTAGGCAAAAGCGTGACATATCAGATTTGCATGTTATCACAATGAGTCTGGCTTTCCTGTGGGAATTGGATTTTAGAAGGCTGAGGGAGGAAACAGGGAGCCATTGGGGATTGTTGGCATGGTTTGAGCAAGAGAAGGAGGCTGGTGCATTTGATGCACTTGGGAGGTAGGGTCCGAGTTGGAGAGAAAGGTGCTGTGTTGCTCAGGGTTTCTCTCTCCTGTATGCCTATTTTCAGTTGAAATGGATGTTTTTAGGGCATACAAACAAATTTGTTAAAATAACACATGTTGACTTAAAACTCTGGGGAAACAACTTAAGCTAGCATTCTGTTTATTGGAATTTGCTGTTAAAGATGAAAGTTAGCAATTTTAGAGTGAGCATTGTTATATAGCGAGTCCTGTGGTCATGGTTAAAGCCTAGCATGTCTTTTAAAGCTTTGTAAATTTAAATCATATACACCAGTTTATAACAGTCAAATCCTGTAAAATCAATTATCTATGAGTTGTATAGTTTCATCAGAATTTCTGACTCGTCAGAATATTCTATCCCTCAACTAAAGTTATGTTCACAGCAGAAGCAAGTTTTAGATTTTGCAGACCACTGCTCCCGTGTGAGTATGGAAAGGTACGAGTTCATGGTACCATCTGTATTTTAAATCAAGATAGAAAATAAATGCAAATTGTTAACAGTGATTACCTGCGATGTCAGAATTATGCGAGACTCGCTTCTCCTGTTTCTTTTGTTTTTTTCCCCAAATTCCCCATGTTCATAACTTTTTAAGATCATAGAAGTTTTTTAAAGTTCATTATATATAGAAAATCACTATTCTCTATCTTACTATGGGTCACAGTGGGAGACTATAACAAAAGGTCTAACCCTGGGGTTATAAGTATTACTGTTTTCTTTTTCTTTTTTAAACATAGATTTTCCGGAAGCTTCCAGGATTTCTCCGCACACTTATGGATGCCCTGAGAAAAGACAGAATAGTCTTCCCTAATGATGAAAAGTACGCTGACGATGAAAGATATGCACTGTTATTTCCACAGTATGCTGGGGTAACTCTCATGCGGCTCCTGGATGGTGAGATGAGAAGTCTCACTATCATTCTTCCTCTTCTTGGAATATCATTCTATGGTTTGTAGATGGGGACTAGGATTCGGGGTAAGGTTTTTAGGAATTTTTATATCTGCTATTTTCCTCGTGTCTTCTTCAATGACTTCATGAATTTGGTACCCCTTTGAATCCATACATGGTGTTGTATATTTATGGCCTATAAAGACCTTTCAAAGATCATCTAGGGCAGCACTTCTTGGGTGTCGACCTCTTTGTAACCATGAAAATACATGGCAGCATTAGGAAGGTTGAGAACCACTGCACTAGGGCCTAGTCTAACACTCCTTGGGGGATCCGACTGATAGGCCAATTCCCCACCTGTCATCCATTCAGCTAGACTCACAGCAAATACGGCAACTGGGATTTGGCTAGTTAGCCTCTGACAGCTGGAGAATTTGAAAATGCTTCCAAATAGGCATTTGTTGAAATATTTTTTTTCTATTTCAACACACTGGGGGAAGTCAAGTTCCAGGAGTAACAGGAAGTCACTGTGGCAGGGATGGATGTATGTCAGAATTTGGGGGGACAGGGAGGTATTGTTTGAGAAAGTCACTGGGAGGGGAAACAAGTCAGTCTTCGTGCCAGAGCCCTTTCAAATGACCAAACCAGGGGGTTGAACAGGAATCTAATCAAATCTGCTAATTTCCTGTCCATCCTCTGCATTTATGAGAAGTAAATAGGATATCTACAAAAAGATGTCTTTGGTTTTGTGGAGTTTTTGTTATCTTGGGGTTTTAAAATTATTTTGTTATCTTTTGTAGTCTTTTAATTAAAATAATTCAGATGTTACAAAACAAGGTGGAATGAGGAAGAATGTTAAGTCCTTCTAATACTGTTTGAATTCATTATTTCAGCGTTTTTCTTCCTCGGTGTTTTCATAAATCACACATAAGTACATTAAATTAACTGTTAACTTGTATGAATAATCTCAGCACTTTGGGAGGCTGAGTCAGGATGATCCCTTGAGGTCAGGAGTTCAAGACCAGCCTGGGTCTTGGTTGGTCTCTCCAACATGGAGAGACTTTGTCTCCATAAAAAATTTTAAAAATTAGCTGGGTGCGGTGGTACCTGCTTATAATTCCCAGCTATTACTCAGGAAGCTGATGTAGGAGGATTACTTGAACCTGGGGTTTGAGGCTGCAATGAAATTGTGCCACTGCACTCTAGCCTGGGTGACAGAGTGAGACCCTATCTCTAAAATAAAAAAATAAAAACAACAACAAAATCCCCAAATTGTACAAATAGAAGAGATGGAAACCTTGCCTGGAGAAAAAAGTAACTGTATGAAGTTTTTAAAATATATAAAATTGTTATTTCCTGGGAGAAAAGAGATTTCTTGTAATTTGGCCAAAACTCATGTTTTGCTAAAGGTTTAACTTAGAAGGGAAGGAATCTTAATGAATCGAGTGCTTTTCTTGTACTTGTTCCTAGTGTTAAATTCCTGTCCTCCCCCCTTCTCATCTTACATGGAGAGGATGACAAGACCGTGCCCTTGGAGTATGGGACAAAGGTGAGGCGAGTGCTCCGTGGGGACCGGCATGTGCTGGTCATCTTTTTCATTCAGCTGGAGTTTAATTGCAGCCTACGGGAAGGTGTCTGATATTACAAGAGATTCTCCACACTCCTAAAACACTGTGTTGTTTTATTCCATGTGCATTAGTTTTCTTGGCTTCTAAGCTCAAGGTAGTGACTGTGGCTTAGCCTGGCTCCCCATCTTGACTGTGGGGCTCTGCAGTGCAGAGAAGGTCCCAGGCTGCTGGGGAACCCCCTTGCTGTCTCTCCCATAGTGGCTCTGAGACTGGGGGTGTAGTTCTTTTTCTTTCAAATAAACCTCCGCCAGAGCGGAGCAGGTGCACAGCACTTCTCACCCTCTTGTGACGAGGTCAGAGCAGGGCAGGGGTGTTTCCACAGAGTTCTGTCAGCCAAGTTGTGTCCAGGTCCTTCACCGTATAGGCAGCCAGCTGGGCAGGTGGTGACTCCCTGTGTCTTTGACTTATTGGGACAAACTCCCCAGGTTGGCTATTCTATGCCCTATTAGGATGACTGGACTAGAAAATCCAGAGCTTTGACTGCTCAGCCTTTGAGTCTCTGCCTCTCCGCCCTTGCAGCTCTACGAGATCGCCTACCATGCATACAGAAACAAAGAGAGGGTCAAGATGGTCATCTTTCCTCCCGGCTTCAGACACAACCTCCTTTGTGAAAACTCCACATTCCTAATAACCGTGAGGTAAGAGCTGTTTTGTTAAATGTGGGTATTTTTCCTTAAAGGTCACTAGGGCTGTTCTGGCTAAATTAGACTGTGAGGTGGGGACAGTGCATGAACTAACCTGGGTCCTTCTCCTGCAGAGATTTCCTGAGCAAGCAGTGGGCATGAGGTGTGAGAGCAGTGGAGAGCCTCAGAGGAGACTTGGTCCAGATACCACCTGTGATGTGCACTTTTAATGTAAAATGGTACTGGGCTGGCTGGGTGAGCTGAAGCCATTGACATTTGTATGAGTCACTTGCCCGTTTAACAGGGGAAAGCCCGGATGCCAGGTGGTAAGCAATGTTCTTATGTAGCTTATCATGCTCCACTTTGTGACGGATGCTAAAACCTCACTGTGGAGGATCAGAACTTGATAAAAGTTTGGATTCCATCCAAAAAAGTGTAGTTATCAAACCCACGTGGTTGCTATGGGTCTAAATGTCTTTGTCCATCCCCCAAATTCGTATGTTGAAACCCTAGTCACCAATGTGATGGTGCTGGGAGGTGGTGCTGAGTTCTGAGGATGGGATTAGTGCCCTTGTGAAATGAGCCCCAAAGAGCTTTTTATCCCTTTACCATTTGAAGACACAATGAAAATGTACCATCTGCAAACCAGAAAGTGACCCTCACTGGCCAGTCTGCCAGTGCCTTCACCTTGGATTTCCTGTCCTCCACAACTCTATATTTCTTTATAGATCAAAATTCCATAATTTCTATATCAAAGAATATATGCAGCTATTTCTTTTGTAGCCTCATGATTTTGTAAAGAGGCAGGTTGTTTGTGAGGCACCCAGATTGTGCCACTTTGGTTTAATATTCCTGAACGGACTAAGTTTGATTGGCCTTTAGTTTCAACTTAGGTGGCAGTATAAGAAAGTTGCTCCAATGTAGTTAAATAATTTGTGTTTCAGTTCAGTTCATTTCAATGGCATTAAAAAGTTCCAATCAGCTTTCTCACCCTCTGATTAGTTTGGAGCGAGTCCTAGCAGCAGCAGTCACGTTAAGTTTTGGCACTTGGGTAGGTCTTGGAAACTGGCATTTTATTTGTAGCCCTAATACAGTCACACATTTTCCCTCTCCATTCCCAGAGATACTTAACCAGATTTTTAGCTAGCAAAACAAAATCAATGAATGCTGTAGCCATGTTCAAGTTCGGTAAAAAGCCAAGTTTTGTAGAGACACTTTATAATTCAATTCCCATTGACTTTGTTCATCCCACTGCTAGATTCATTCGATAAGGAAATCTTTATATCTGAAGGCTCCATGTTCCAGATGTCCCGGGCATATTCTTTAATTGTTCGGTCACTGGAGAATTTTCCTGAGGAAGCGATGTTTTTCAGTACCATTGTGTTCCAGGCTTTTGGATTCTGTAAAAAACAAACGTGTATCACAACCCAGGGCCTGGCCGCCCAGCAAGCTTATGACAAACACTGGGCCAAGCACGTCCAGGCACGTTGCATGAGAATGACAGGCATAGATTGTAGTGAATTTATAAATACGCTCGTTATTTTGCAAAGCTGTAGGTAGGGTGGACTGTACTTTTCTCATATTTAGAGAATATTTCTCTTAGGAATGAAAAAAATTATTTTCTACTTTGGGAAAAACCATGGAAGTAAATTCCCTAATTGGTAATTCCTGCTATGGTTAACTACATTTTGGTATGTAAGCAGTATTTCCCATTCTTCATTAGGAGTGTAGATACCTCGTTTAAGCCACAGGGAAGGAAGAGACTAACATTCATTGTCAGCAAGATGCCCTGTCAGGCTGACAGAGTCTGTGGCTGACAGTTCTAAAATCTCTGCTCTGGGACGTTAGCTGAGAGGTGGGCAAACCCTCCAGCGGAGGTTTTCCTGGCCTACTTAGCTTTTCCTACTCTCTCTGAAGGCACACACCCCACTAGGTTTACACTGAATCACAACTCCTCCACAGGGATTCCAAAACAGGGCCAACTAGGCTTTTATCTTTAATAAAAATATATCAAAATCCCATAATTTCTATATCAAAGACTATATGAAACTATGTCTTTTGTAGCCTCATGATTTTGTAAAGAACTGTAAAAGTTTATTGGAAGTTACTAGACTGTTATTCAAAGCTGTTAGCAATACATTAGCATTTAACAGAAAGACCAAAACTACTCCCATTTTTTAAGGTGCTATAAATATGTTCAAGTTCAAACTGATTTCTAGAGACATTAAAATTCAATTTCCACTGACTTTGTTCATCCATTGCTAAATTCATTGGATAAGGAAAATCTTTATATGTGAAGGCTCCATGTTCCAGATGTCCCAAACATAGTCCTTAATTGTTTGGTCAAATAGAGTCTGAAGTTAGTACTTTGGAAACTTATTGTAATAAGAGAAGAACAAAAACTTCCTCTCTTTATTTTCTTTAACTATTTAAATGGATAATGAATAGACTTCCTAGCCATGTGGGTCATGTTTACTAAGCTTAACAATACAAATATTGTTAAGAGTAAAAAACTGCAGTTGGCACTAGTGCGGTGGTTCTCGACCTTCCTAATGCCATGACCCTTTAATACAGTTCCTCTTGTTGTGGTGACCCCCAACCACTACTTAAGTAGCAACAAAAAATTTTATTGTTGGGGGTCACCACAACATGAGGAACTGTATTAAAGGGTCACAGCATTAGGAAGGTTGAGAACCACTGCACTAATGAACTACAAAGATCGAATCAAATGCTGGGTTTCTAGATGAGCATCTTTTGGATTTGGGCCACGATCATTATTTTATTTTATTTTTGAGACAAAGTCTCACTCTGTTGCCCTGGGAAGAGTGCTGGGAAATCATCATAGCTCGCAGCAATTCAATCTCTTGCCTTCAACATCCTCTTGCCTTAGCCTGCCATGTAGCTGAGACTACAATTATCTATCATAATACCCAGCTAGTTTTTCTCTATTTTTTAGTAGAGATGGGGTCTCACTCTTGCTTAGGCTAGTTTTGAACTCCACCCACCTCAGCCTCCTGGAGTGCTAGGATTACAGATGTGAGCCACCACGCTCAGCCTTGGGCCGTAATCTTAACAGAGGAGACTCACTGTATAAAATTGACATTCACATCTATCTGTGCCCTTGTTCATATTTCCCTTTCCTGCTCGGTTTTATTTATATTTCTTGAGGTGGTCATTCTCTCTCCTCTGTCTTAGAGTTCTTGGGGCCTGTGTGTGGCTGCTCTCTCTAATATTTAGGAAGCAGGTACCAAGCCACCTCGCTTGACCACTGCCCTGCCTTTTTGTGACCATTACTATGAATGTGCTCTAGTACCGAGCTGCTGTGGACTGGGTGTGGCTCTTCCAAAAGATAAGGGCAGCACAGGCCTTGAATGAGCCCATTTTAAAACCCCAATGGGACACCTAGGATGACTGTAGGGACTACCCTGTCATCTGTCATGGGAAAGGAGGAGAGAGAAATGTTAGCAACACCGGCCCTGGAGTCCCAGCACACTGCTGGCCGCCTCCTGTATCTCTCCCTCTGGGGGTCCTGCAGTGCCCTACAGTCTCCCCTATCAGAGATGATCAACCTTCCCAGATGTTTACAAAACACACCTGGAGAGCTAGTGATACAGATGTGTAATGTTGTACGTGAAGGCTTAGTCACAGGGCTCTGGCCTTTTTTGTCTCAGTCTAGTCTTCCTTATTCTTCTTTCAAGTATGAACCTTCTCCTCTTTCTACACGATTATATTCGATTCATACAGTCCTGCTCCATGAGTAGTCCATGAGGTATTCTTTGCAATTTTCAAAGAATAAGAGGTCAGTCCTTATCCCAGGAAACCAGGCTCAGCCTTAGAATTAGCATATGGGGTTTTTCAATTACTGACGGTGATGGCCCCCCGCCCCCCCGACTGCTGGGTAAGACCCCTTCAGTGTGGGGCTGACATCTGGGGATTCCACTGTTCTCAGTGCCCAGCACATTTCTTGGAATAAAGGGGACCCCCGACGCCTTTCCCACCCTTACCTTTCAGGACATGCCTGCTACATGGCAATGGCAGGTGCTCAGTAAATATTTAATTATTTGTGACTTTTTTACTTGGATATTAAAAAATTTACAAGTGTTACTGAAATGTGAAATCCCAACCTTTGCCTAAACTTGGGAAAAGTCATGTTTTGATCTAACTCACCTGGACACTTGCCTCACTTTTTAGAAATTGGTTAATGGGGCCTTATTATTTTCCATTTAATTTTCAAAAACTCCCACATTTTAATTAACCAGAGTAAACTGGTTTCCTTTATAAATACTGGCAACTCACTCACCATGTAGAGTTGACTGACTTTTTCTTGGCACTTGACGTAGGCTTCATAGTCTGCAAAGACTTTAAACCTATTTTTGTGTGATTGGAAGGAAAAAAAAACAGTGAA